CTTCACCACTCATGCCTCTTCACCACTCTTGCCTCTTCACCACTCCTGCCTCTTCACCACTCCTGCCTCTTCACCACTCTTGCCTCTTCACCACTCCTGCCTCTTCACCACTCCTGCCTCTTCACCACTCCTGCCTCTTCACCACTCCTGCCTCTTCACCACTCCTGCCTCTTCACCACTCTTGCCTCTTCACCACTCTTGCCTCTTCACCACTCCTGCCTCTTCACCACTCTTGCCTCTTCACCACTCTTGCCTCTTCACCGCTCCTGCCTCTTCACCACTCCTGCCTCTTCACCACTCATGCCTCTTCACCACTCCTGCCTCTTCACCACTCATGCCTCTTCACCACTCTTGCCTCTTCACCACTCCTGCCTCTTCACCACTCCTGCCTCTTCACCACTCCTGCCTCTTCACCACTCCTGCCTCTTCACCACTCTTGCCTCTTCACCACTCCTGCCTCTTCACCACTCCTGCCTCTTCACCACTCCTGCCTCTTCACCACTCTTGCCTCTTCACCACTCTTGCCTCTTCACCACTCCTGCCTCTTCACCACTCTTGCCTCTTCACCACTCCTGCCTCTTCACCACTCCTGCCTCTTCACCACTCTTGCCTCTTCACCACTCCTGCCTCTTCACCACTCCTGCCTCTTCACCACTCCTGCCTCTTCACCACTCTTGCCTCTTCACCACTCTTGCCTCTTCACCACTCCTGCCTCTTCACCACTCCTGCCTCTTCACCACTCTTGCCTCTTCACCACTCTTGCCTCTTCACCACTCCTGCCTCTTCACCACTCTTGCCTCTTCACCACTCTTGCCTCTTCACCGCTCCTGCCTCTTCACCACTCCTGCCTCTTCACCACTCTTGCCTCTTCACCACTCATGCCTCTTCACCACTCATGCCTCTTCACCACTCCTGCCTCTTCACCACTCATGCCTCTTCACCACTCATGCCTCTTCACCACTCCTGCCTCTTCACCACTCCTGCCTCTTCACCACTCTTGCCTCTTCACCACTCTTGCCTCTTCACCACTCCTGCCTCTTCACCACTCCTGCCTCTTCACCACTCTTGCCTCTTCACCACTCCTGCCTCTTCACCACTCCTGCCTCTTCACCACTCCTGCCTCTTCACCACTCCTGCCTCTTCACCACTCTTGCCTCTTCACCACTCTTGCCTCTTCACCACTCCTGCCTCTTCACCACTCCTGCCTCTTCACCACTCCTGCCTCTTCACCACTCCTGCCTCTTCACCACTCTTGCCTCTTCACCACTCTTGCCTCTTCACCACTCCTGCCTCTTCACCACTCTTGCCTCTTCACCACTCTTGCCTCTTCACCGCTCCTGCCTCTTCACCACTCCTGCCTCTTCACCACTCATGCCTCTTCACCACTCCTGCCTCTTCACCACTCATGCCTCTTCACCACTCTTGCCTCTTCACCACTCCTGCCTCTTCACCACTCCTGCCTCTTCACCACTCCTGCCTCTTCACCACTCTTGCCTCTTCACCACTCTTGCCTCTTCACCGCTCCTGCCTCTTCACCACTCCTGCCTCTTCACCACTCTTGCCTCTTCACCACTCATGCCTCTTCACCACTCATGCCTCTTCACCACTCCTGCCTCTTCACCACTCATGCCTCTTCACCACTCTTGCCTCTTCACCACTCCTGCCTCTTCACCACTCCTGCCTCTTCACCACTCTTGCCTCTTCACCACTCCTGCCTCTTCACCACTCCTGCCTCTTCACCACTCTTGCCTCTTCACCACTCCTGCCTCTTCACCACTCCTGCCTCTTCACCACTCCTGCCTCTTCACCACTCTTGCCTCTTCACCACTCTTGCCTCTTCACCACTCCTGCCTCTTCACCACTCCTGCCTCTTCACCACTCTTGCCTCTTCACCACTCTTGCCTCTTCACCACTCCTGCCTCTTCACCACTCTTGCCTCTTCACCACTCTTGCCTCTTCACCGCTCCTGCCTCTTCACCACTCCTGCCTCTTCACCACTCTTGCCTCTTCACCACTCATGCCTCTTCACCACTCATGCCTCTTCACCACTCCTGCCTCTTCACCACTCATGCCTCTTCACCACTCATGCCTCTTCACCACTCCTGCCTCTTCACCACTCCTGCCTCTTCACCACTCTTGCCTCTTCACCACTCTTGCCTCTTCACCACTCCTGCCTCTTCACCACTCCTGCCTCTTCACCACTCTTGCCTCTTCACCACTCCTGCCTCTTCACCACTCCTGCCTCTTCACCACTCCTGCCTCTTCACCACTCCTGCCTCTTCACCACTCCTGCCTCTTCACCACTCCTGCCTCTTCACCACTCCTGCCTCTTCACCACTCCTGCCTCTTCACCACTCTTGCCTCTTCACCACTCTTGCCTCTTCACCACTCCTGCCTCTTCACCACTCCTGCCTCTTCACCACTCTTGCCTCTTCACCACTCCTGCCTCTTCACCACTCCTGCCTCTTCACCACTCTTGCCTCTTCACCACTCTTGCCTCTTCACCACTCCTGCCTCTTCACCACTCTTGCCTCTTCACCACTCTTGCCTCTTCACCGCTCCTGCCTCTTCACCACTCCTGCCTCTTCACCACTCTTGCCTCTTCACCACTCATGCCTCTTCACCACTCATGCCTCTTCACCACTCCTGCCTCTTCACCACTCATGCCTCTTCACCACTCTTGCCTCTTCACCACTCCTGCCTCTTCACCACTCCTGCCTCTTCACCACTCTTGCCTCTTCACCACTCCTGCCTCTTCACCACTCCTGCCTCTTCACCACTCCTGCCTCTTCACCACTCCTGCCTCTTCACCACTCCTGCCTCTTCACCACTCTTGCCTCTTCACCACTCTTGCCTCTTCACCACTCCTGCCTCTTCACCACTCTTGCCTCTTCACCACTCTTGCCTCTTCACCGCTCCTGCCTCTTCACCACTCCTGCCTCTTCACCACTCATGCCTCTTCACCACTCCTGCCTCTTCACCACTCATGCCTCTTCACCACTCTTGCCTCTTCACCACTCCTGCCTCTTCACCACTCCTGCCTCTTCACCACTCCTGCCTCTTCACCACTCCTGCCTCTTCACCACTCTTGCCTCTTCACCACTCCTGCCTCTTCACCACTCCTGCCTCTTCACCACTCCTGCCTCTTCACCACTCTTGCCTCTTCACCACTCTTGCCTCTTCACCACTCCTGCCTCTTCACCACTCTTGCCTCTTCACCACTCCTGCCTCTTCACCACTCCTGCCTCTTCACCACTCTTGCCTCTTCACCACTCCTGCCTCTTCACCACTCCTGCCTCTTCACCACTCCTGCCTCTTCACCACTCTTGCCTCTTCACCACTCTTGCCTCTTCACCACTCCTGCCTCTTCACCACTCCTGCCTCTTCACCACTCTTGCCTCTTCACCACTCTTGCCTCTTCACCACTCCTGCCTCTTCACCACTCTTGCCTCTTCACCACTCTTGCCTCTTCACCGCTCCTGCCTCTTCACCACTCCTGCCTCTTCACCACTCTTGCCTCTTCACCACTCATGCCTCTTCACCACTCATGCCTCTTCACCACTCCTGCCTCTTCACCACTCATGCCTCTTCACCACTCATGCCTCTTCACCACTCCTGCCTCTTCACCACTCCTGCCTCTTCACCACTCTTGCCTCTTCACCACTCTTGCCTCTTCACCACTCCTGCCTCTTCACCACTCCTGCCTCTTCACCACTCTTGCCTCTTCACCACTCCTGCCTCTTCACCACTCCTGCCTCTTCACCACTCCTGCCTCTTCACCACTCCTGCCTCTTCACCACTCTTGCCTCTTCACCACTCTTGCCTCTTCACCACTCCTGCCTCTTCACCACTCCTGCCTCTTCACCACTCCTGCCTCTTCACCACTCCTGCCTCTTCACCACTCCTGCCTCTTCACCACTCTTGCCTCTTCACCACTCTTGCCTCTTCACCACTCCTGCCTCTTCACCACTCATGCCTCTTCACCACTCTTGCCTCTTCACCACTCTTGCCTCTTCACCACTCTTGCCTCTTCACCACTCTTGCCTCTTCACCACTCTTGCCTCTTCACCACTCTTGCCTCTTCACCTTGCCTCTTCACCTTGCCTCTTCACCACTCTTGCCTCTTCACCACTCTTGCTTCGTAAACACACAGTGCGTCCCACAAGCACACAGTAGCTCCCACATGCGCACATACCCTGAGAATCTCAAACGCCCTGGTCAGCCGGTACCAGTCATTCCGTGCCAGCTGGCCTGCTGTGATTGGGTCGCCCGCAGCAGCAAGAGCAGCCAGGGCGGCCTCCCAGTCGCCCTCCTCCGCATACCTCACACGCGGCTGCCTGCTCGCCCACCCCCGCTCCCTCGCCTCTCCCCCTGTCCCCGCTTCGCCCTGCCCCGTCTCCTCCTCCATTCCCCCCACAGCCATGCCACCTCCCCCCGCACCCACTCGCGCACCATCGTTGCCCTCCTCGCTCCTCTCGTCGGCACTCAACGCTATCTCCAAGCCGCCCCTCACTGCCTCGCCTGCTGATTCCTCTCCCTCCATCACCCCCTCTGCTGCATCCCCCTCACCCCCACCTGCTGCCTCTTCTGCCCCACCAACCGCCCCTACGCTCCTCTCATCCCCCCTCGCCCCCCTCGCCCCCCTGGCCTGCCTGGCGCGCGTGACAGCGGCGTGGATCTCGGCGGCCACGGCGTGCTCCAGCGCGGGGCACGAGGGGGGGGTGACGGGGCGGCCGTGCAGCAGCCATGCGAGGTAGAGCCCCGTGCCGCCCACCACCACGGGCACGCCCCCCCGCTGCACCACGCCCTCCACGGCCGCACGCGCCACCTCGTAGAAGTCGCCCGCCGTGAACTCTGTGGGTGCAGGGGGGGTGCAGGGGGGGTGCAGGGGGGGTGCAGGGGGGGCGAGGAGGGGGGCATGCTGCTGCTCATGCGCTGTCTGTCTCATCGCCATCATCAAGCTACCCCGCCTGGCTCCCTCCCTGCACGCACCCTGCACCTTACTCGCACCATTCCATAACACTCACCTTGCTTGCCTCCCCCCCACTGCACGGCCCCGTTACCACCTCGCCTGCCACGCCCCACCCACCATGCCCCATCGTGCCCCACCTTGCCCCACCTTGCCCCACCGTGCCCCACCATGCCCCACCTTGCCACGGCTCGCAGATGTCCAGCAGGTGGTGCGGCACGCGGCGCTGGTGGGCAGGGGAGGGCTTGGCGGAGCCGACGTTGAGGGAGCGGTACACCGCCACCGAGTCCGCACTCACCACCTCGCCGCCTCGCACCGCCTCCGCCACCGCCAGCGCCAGCCGCGACTTGCCCACGGCTGTGGGACCCGAAATCACAATCACCCGCGGCTTGCCCCCCGCCTCCCGCCCCGCCGCCCCCTCCTCTCGCTGCTCGCGGTCGCACGCACCGCCTGTCGGGCCTTGCGCCACCATCCCCTCGCCACTGCCCGCTTCGCTCCTCTCGCCCCCTTCGCCCCTCTCGCCCCCTTCGCTCCTCTCGCCCCCTTTGCTCCTCTCGCCCCCTCTCGCGCGTCCCTCCGCCTCCCCCCCGCCCCGCCCTCGCAGCTCGGCCAGCCCGTCTGCCCCTGTACCCGCGCCCCTCGCCGTGCGTTCACGGCCCGCGCGGGTCGCAGTGGCAACTGCAGCTGCAGCTGCTGGCCCGACCCTACCTCGAGCCCCAGTCACTCGCGCGCCTTCACCTTCTCTTCTCCACGCGCCTGGCGCCGCCCCTCCTCGCTCGCACTCGTGCCCAACGCAGCGGCGCACGGAGTCCCGACCGAGCCTGTTTACAAACGTACCGTTGAGCCAACTGTCGAATCTACGCGTCGCGTGACTGCCGAAGCTATTACCGAGAAGCATCCCCGTATTGACAGGGTTCGCTGCATCGCGGCGCGCGGACCGGCTGCTATCAGACGATGACGCCGTGTTGGGGGATGGGGTGATTCGCGCGACATGCGTGCGCAAGAGCAGGGTTAAAGGTGGCGAAGCGAGCGGGCGGCGGTGCCGGCACGGAGCGATGATGAGTGGTCAGCTGGTTTCAGGGTGATTTGTCAGCAGGACGCGGCCGTGTTGGCGTGCGATGTTGGTTTCGGACGACGTCAGGTTGTACAACTTTTTGTATGCTCCCTTGTGGTTAACTTCGTTTCGTCACGGTGCGAAGTGGTAAACTTTGAAAACCGCTCAGGACCGTATAGAACCTTCCTAAGATTGCATTCCCCGTTCGGACACCATCCGAAGTTCGCCCACCTGAAGGTGTTTTGGCGCGAGGATGGTGTCCGTGTGGGGCAGGGCCCCACCTTGGACATTTGGTAGGTCTGGAATGCGACGAGTGTCGTGCGTGTCGCTTGGGTTCGCGACCAATCAGAGTATGACGCAGTACACACTGGTAGCGTCAACTGCTAATGACCAAAACTGAGTGTCGGGCATTTAAAAACACGTGGGTAGCCAATTCCGGGCTGCATGTTTGCTATATAGGCGATATTTGATTAATTTACTTGGATTGGGCAGACAACAAAACACGATAGGGACAAAACAGAGAGTGTTCATTGAAATCAATGGTTTGTTACACGATCGCACAGTTCGATAGTTGACGTGCACGTTAGTCGCACGCTTGGTGGCCGACTGAAACCAGAGTGTCCAGACTTCGGACCGCGTGGACCAACATTGAAATGTCATTTTTTTGAAACTGCGCACCGCGTGGGCGAACTTCGGATGGTGTCCGAACGGGGAATGCAATCTAAGCCACCATACGAGAACTGTAAAAGTGCGACAAGTGTACCTGACGTTGCCCTCAGGGCGGGTTCGAGTATATTCATACTCGTTTCGAACGGACGACGAGTTTCTGATTTCGTGTATCCTCGCGGGCATGGTCGCTGCTCCAAGCTGGTACACCAGATGCCCGTTACGGTCCCACAAGGTCACTCGACATTTTGGGCTTGAACTGATCTGGCTGCTTGTAAAATGGGTGCAACTGGCCGGTACCAAATGCAATTGGGCAGGCGTTCGGGATTGGGCAGACCAAATGTGCGGGCAACAGCTGAGAATCGTGTGTACAGTAATATAATGAAGTTGGGAATCCGACGTCCGTTCACACGTGCGACGATTTCAAGGACGTGCGGAACACATTTAAAGGTGCAGCTTCAATTCGTCCAAAGGTTCGTACTGTGGTGTATATGTCAAACAGTTTCGCCGAGAAACCTGTCGCCACCAATTTCGCCTACCCGCTACCCATTACAAAGGGCAAGACTTAAACTCGTCCATCTCTTACGGTATCGGGTAACCATATTTCAGGACTGTACCACCTCTCGTCGTTGAACCTTGTTAGAGGTTCGAAACGTACCCTTGATAAATGGACAGGGTGTTACGGGGGGTAGTTTACTGTTCACTGATTGTTTGCCCTAAATGGTATCCCACCTTATCTTCATCCAATCTCTTCAGGATCTCTAGGATATTTCATCCGCCACGTGGCACTCTAGTTTTCTTGCATTCCCATTCTAAGTCCCACAAACAGTTTTCCAACATTCATCATTGCATGCTATCTATACATTGTTTTATATTTGAAAATATAATTCAATTCTTAACTCAGTATTAGATTCGCCTATTTCGTGAATATGTTTTTCACCAAAGTCTTCTACCACGTTTCATCCCCGACTTATTCGACCATGTTGTTCTTAGCGGATTTAGGCAAGGGGCCTAACACACAGAATGTTCTGCGTACAACTTGGGAATCAATTTTATTTGACGAGCCCAGTGACGTAAACGTTACGTGAGAAACGGCAGTGAACAAAGTTGGCACCACCCTTACCATTCTTCGCGATCCAGTTATGTGCTCGGAACCCACATGAAACCCAACTTCTCAGGCAATCTTCATGCATGATTTGCGCTATACCGATTTCTTCTCTCGTTTGGTATTCAGGAATAGCACAAGCGGTTTCGGGCATTGAAAAATGCTGGTAAAGAAATATAGTTGGTCTTGAGGGCAGTGTCCCAACAAAAGATCCTACGCTGGTGGCAACCACCGTTTTTTTGTACTGGTTGGCCCTGATGCTGTTAGGCCAGCAAATCTCCTCGCGGAAAAATGTCAGAATCCCGACCACTAGACCATTGGGATAATAGGGCTTGTTAAGTAGCGGGTCAGTGCGCCCATAACCCCCTAGGCCAACATGCCTGTAACCCTTCCCTAGGATCAATCGGGGATCACCAGTGGACCTCTGACACCCCCCCGCACTGGGATGCCCGAAGTGCACACACTGGGATTCGAACCCGAGACCTTCGCTCTGATACCATGTCAGAATCCCAACCACTAGACCATTGGGATAAAAGGGCTTGTTAAGTAGCGGGTCAGTGCGCCCATAACCCCCCAGGCCAACATGCCTGTAGCCCTTCCCTAGGATCAATCGGGGATCACCAGTGGACCTCTGAAAAAAAAAATGGTCGTCAAAATACAAAATCATTTCGTTGGCCCTGAAATTGTATAGAGGGTAGTAGGAAGGTTGCTCATGGCTTCGGATTAACTAAAGCTTCATTGAAATCTCCTGACGCACAGTGTCTACAACTGTTGATCCCAGTGGCTGATGCCATCTTTGCATGCTGTACGCAGTAACTGTTCAACCACCTTGTTCAGTCGCTCTGTCTGTCCATCTGTCTGGGGTGGTATGCTGAAGACATAGCAAGCTTAGTCCCGAGCAAACCCATGAGTTCCTGCCAGAACTTACTAGTAAACTTCGGGTCTCTGTCTGAGATCAGTTTCGTGGGAGTTCCATGGATTGTGACCATGCGGGCGAAGAAGAGCCGAGCTATGGCTTCATCGTTTAGTAGGGATGAAGTGTCTCATTTTGAAAAACGATGGCCTTTGGACCATGCTACCAGTGTGGAAAGAGGGGGCATAAGCCGGTAAACTGCTACGAAAATCTGTGAAGTAGGAACTTCAAGGGCAAAGCGGTGGAGAACGAAAATGGAGAAAACGGGGGAGCGGAGTGGCAACAGAAACGAGGATACGGCGGCAAGTGTGATTATTGTGGGCGCTACGGACATCGTGCCGCAGAGTGTTACTCCAACCCGAATAGTGGGAGCTACAAGGGTCCCTCGCACAAATGGAGCGTGGCGACAAAGGCGAATGTAGCAGAATTGAACAATGAGGATGTGATTTTGAGAGGAGCGCATCTTGCGAACTTGGTGCGTCTACCAAAGAATGTTCGACAGTCGGATGGACGTGAGAAGACGGCATGGTACATGGACAGTGGACGCACGTGACACATGACGTTCAAGTCAGACCAGATGGAGAACATGAGAGAGTAAGTGAGGATTATATACTGCAAGGTAACAATGGGTAGTTACGAGGGGCAGGAGAGGGTGATGTTGTGCTGCAAAGTCCGTACGGAGAGGTGAAACTGGAGAGTGTGTTGTTGGTTGAGGATTTGAAGGTGAATTTGGTCAGTCAGTCATAGCTTGATGACTTGGGGTGCAAGATATTTTATGACAGTGGCAAGGTTTCAGTGTTTGGTCCAGAGTGGGAGAAGTATGCGGATGGCTACTTCAATGACGTGTTCTATGAGATGTGCCTGATAGCGATGAACGATATGGATGAGTTCTATGAGGACCGTGAGTGTACTGAGATGAGAAAACTGGAGGAGTTAACGGTTGTGGTTGATAAGAGTGAGGACGCGAAGGATACGGCAGCGAGTGTGGAGGCAGTAATGAAGCAGGAAGAGGAGAAAGTCATCATGGAGGCAATAGCAGTGAACGATGGAGATGGTGTTGGTGTCAACACATTTGCAGCAGTAATTGTGGTTGAAGACGAAGAAGTAAATGCAAAGTGCGAGAAAGTTGAAGCTGCGAATATGGATTTTATGGTGAAGGGATCAAAGGCAAATGCAACTGCAAAAGGGCGGGTGCTTACGGTGAAGGAACACGTTGAGGGGAGAGGAGAGGCGAGAGGCTGAAGAAAATCACTCAAGGTTTGGATGTCAAAGGGCTCAACTTCAAGACACGTAAGCAGAGGTTCAAGCTGCAAGAGCTGCAAAGGAGCCTGAAGTCGAGTTAAACACAGTGAAGGCTTCAAGGAACAGGGGAGCGGTGCGAGTGGAGTTTGTGGTTGATGAACCACAGGGGAGATAGTTAGGGGTGGTTCGCCGAACCATGAAATCTACGGCGAGATTTCGTGTGACAACTAAATGGAAGCGCGTGGATGATTCTAAGTGGAAATCGGCCTACGGCGAAGAATGGAAGCCACGTCGTGAGAAGCGGGAGAGAGGTGGAGAAGAAATATACTGGAAGGAGGAAGAAGCGTGAAGAATTATCGAGATGGGAGTTTACGAGGGGAAATTTGGTTCAAGACCAAGGCGCATTCGAGAAGGTGCTGGATCCGGACTCGAGGAGTGTTCGGTGAATTTGGTGCAGTTGCATGTGCGACTCGGGGTGAAACGAAGCGCGCACGCGATAACTTGGGAAACACGTTACGTTACGAATCGCATTTTGTATCTTCTTAGATTACAAAACTGCTTGTACTCATTGATGACATTACAACATCAAGGTTCTGAAAATTGCTGAAGTGTGTATTGACAACTTCAAGCAGAGCTGCGCATATCGTTGCAATCGGGTGATCGTGGAGAACACGATAGGTAATAGCAACTAGACTATTCCCGACCTAGAGCATCAGCTAAACCTCTGGCCCCGTGTCTCCCAGCCGAAGACCTCGCCTACCCTGCTTTGGACGGGAGAGGTTGGCGATCCGTCGGCGTTTTGGGTCTGGGGTTCGCTTGCCCTTGTCCGCGATCTTTCCGCGGGCAAGCTCTCTCCTCGCACTATTCGCTGCGTCTTCCTTGACTTTCCCCCAGGGCAAGAAACGGCGGTCACGAGGA